AGTGAATAAACAATAAATATAATAAGTGATAAAAATAGCGATGATAATGTTTCTAAAAAGAAAAAGAAACTCTGAAATCTACAATAATTCTGTAATAGTCGAGTCCAACGTGAGTTTTGCCTAAGTCGAGGAGCGTAAAATACGACTATCAAAGAAGAAATAGAATAAAAATGTAACTACGTATCAGCATGATAATTAATCATCATTAATATCAATTTTTATACTATTTTCCAACCCACACAAAAGACGTCTAATTTCACGTTTATGTCTTTTAGTTAATTTTATATCCTCTATTTTAAAAATAAGATTATCAGTTTCCATTCTAAGGATCAATTTTTTAAAAAGTTCACTTCGACTGACTTCAAATCTATATATTTTTCTAAAACTAAAAAATTTCTTATTGTGCTTTGTTAAATATAGATTAAAATCACAGTGTTTATCCATAATTTTTAAAGCAAGTTTCATTGCCTCGTCATCATTTTCTGTTCTAAATTTCTCAATCGCCTCGTCATCATTTCCTAATTGAAATTTATTTGGGATTATATCTTTAGCAATCTTCATAGCAGACTTCAAAAATTCCTTGTTGATAGGTTTTTCTTTGTTATAAAATGTTTTACTTCCTTGGTTTAATTTTATCGTAATTTCGGCTTTATCATTGATAGATACTTCGTCACAAGATTTATTGCCAGCACTTTCTTTGTTTGATATCTTATTTTTAACTTTATCATCGATAGATTTATTGTCAGCACTTTCAATCTTTGATATTATCTTAATTGTAACTTTATTATCGATAGATATAGTGTCATAAGGTTCAGCTTCAGATTCATTTTTATATATTTCAAAAACTTTATCTGTTTTATCTTCTGTTTTGTCTTCTTTTTTATGTATTTCAAAAACATATGTCTTACAAGCGCTTGTTTTACTGGGATTCTCACCCTTAACATCCTTAAAAAGTATTTCCAAAAGTGTTTCTTTATCGTCATTTATTTTACCACATATAATAATAGCATTAGCAAGTGCCTTTGCATAGTTGCGATTCAGGTAAAACTTTTTTTTAAAGTGATTAGCAAGTTTCTCAACAAATGTATTAATTATGTCCATAAATTTCTCAGTACATATAACAACAAGTCTACAATTAACTTCTTCTTCTTCTTTCTCTCCTTCTATTTTATTTTCATCTAAATATTTATGAATTTTGTCATGATTATGACCATCATCAAATTTATGATGTTTAAGCCTAAGCTTATTAACAAGTCTCAGAATAAGTTTCGCTTCAATTTCTGTTCCAAAAAATGTTACGTCATCATTTCCTGTTCTATATTCTCCAAAATATGCTTCATTCACGTCCTTATTTAATACATAGGTTCTCTTCATTAACAAATAATAAATTGATAAAGGCGCTAAAAGAATTAATCCGGGAATCAAAAATATTCCTAAAAAAATTCTAAAACAAACTCCATTAAAACCCATTCGACGATCATCTGTGCTACGATCATCTGCGCTACCCCAATGAAGATTAGATACAACATCATATAATTTTATCATATGTGATAATATTATATTGATAAACCATAATGTTCCGCTCACGATTATGCCTATATCCGCGTATTGAGCAATATTTGGAAAGGAAATATTGACCGGGCTGACGTTAACAAAAATTGAGAGGCTCGTCAATATGATAACATACAAAGACATTATAATGGCGAACCATACTCCAAATTTCTTTTCTAATCTGATGAGATAATTAATACGAGTTAAAAATTTTATATAGTTTTCGTGCCTTTCTGTTTTCAGGTTCTTCAACTCTTCATCTTTCATATTTATCAATGCAGGTATATTCTCTTTCTCTTTTCCGTTGAATTTTATAGTATTAGTAAATTTTTTAATGTTATCCGCGGCCTTATCTGCAATGGCTTTTATGAGGGCTAGAACTCCACCGGTAGCTGTGATACTCGACGTAACAATGTTTAAAATCTTATTAGAAGCATTGTATTTTAAAATTAAGAGCAAACATATTCCAATTAATATAGTGAGCGAAGATACTGAAATATGTGCTAACATTAAACTCTTTCGTCTTGCTAAATTTTTTTCTGCCATCTCCCATTCTTCTTGCAAATTCATAAGAATAAACTTTTTTTCTCGAATTAGTTTAAAATCGTCGTTCTCTTTATTTTTTGAATTTTCAATTTCGGAGTTCATTTTGTTAATCTCTTTATTTTTTGAATTTTCAATGTCGGAGCTCATTTTGATAATTAGTAAATAGAATAAAAACCTTAGCGTTACCTGCTTTTAAATAAATAATCTAACAATTACCCACTTAAAATAATTGGATAAAAATATACGAACGAATTGCGTAATTCAAAAAAAAAAAAAAAATTATAATTGTAATAACAATAAACATGTATAATATTACTAAATCATTATGATCAAATAGGCTTCCCTTGCAATGAAAAAATATATACGTATATCCATAATAATGATAATAATAATCTAACAATTCCCCCAAACTGTACGTGTAGTACTTGCTTATTGATGTCGATAAATTAGGAAGTAATTAATTAACGTTACCTCTCGATATATCGATATATCTAGAGTTAGAGTGCGATACCAGTTGCTAAAAAAATATATATTGAATATTTATGCAACAATTAGTGCTGTGAGTTAAAAAAAAACTTTCATCTGGGCGAAATTTTTTCCTTTATTAAGATAAATGAATACCAGGAACGGAGTGATATTAAAATTTTACGTGAGTATTGGAGCGTAGCTTGATCATCATGTTACACAGAGCATGCGTTAATATAACGTGTATAATATGCTATGCATGTTTGTGTGAAGATCTTCAATTGGAAAATTCCATACGTAGTACTAAGTTTGCGCCAATCATTGTTATTTGGCACACAACCAGATTGAAGGTTTTTTTAAAACTGATTGCGTTTTTTTTTAAAATAGAAATTGGTTTTAGAATAATCTCTTAGTATATTGCAGATCATTTCTAAATCGCGGGGTTCCTTAAAGCGGGGCAAATTTTGCGAAAATTTGATAAACCCAGATCAGCCCGACGAAGTAAAGCAAGCGAAAAAAAAAAGAGAAAAACGCGAAAAATGCAAAAAACGGCAGTCGAACCCACTTTGGTGCATTAATAAAAATGTTGGGAGGGAAATTTTACCTATATTAACAACTCTAACCCTAACGTAAAAGGGCCTTAATCCTAATGTTAATAAAATATTGATTTTTCACGTGCTTTAAAGGACCCCCTAAATTGCGTAAATACCTGATTGTATTATACTTGAGCAAAATGGTATAATTGATATATATAAATTCGTGTAACAAAAGCGACCAATTAAAGTTTTACAATAATTTTAATAATTTTTTCTGAAAAATTCCGCAAAAATTTTAAGAAAAATTCCGAAAAGTTCCGACAAGGATTAAATATACTGTGAAACATGGAAGTAACGCCGGAAGACACGTGAGGGTCAGAGGTCAGAGTGCCGCAGTATCTGCATAGGTGAAAAAGTGAGGATTGGTTCTAGGTTAGAACTCGTCCGGAGGTTTGGTTACACAGAGGTTCGGGTTCGACTAATCTATACAAATAAACCGAGATAATCCAAAAATCCAACTAAGTGGTAACCCTAGCTTGGATAAGGCTTGAAAGAGGCGAGGATTAACTTGGTCCGAGGTTAGGGTTACTTGGGTAGATATATAGATTATTGGAGTTGGGTCTATGGATTGTCTTGGTCACGTTTATCGGAAGTCACGATTTGGTCACGATTTTGTTACAATTTGGGTGTCACGGGGATTTAAAGTTATTGGTGGATCGATTTAACAATTACGATATCGATCAATTGTTTAATCACTTTACAGGTATTATAAAAGAGTATGCGATGTAACAATTCGGGTACTTTTACTCTAACTAGAAGACTTGGTCACGACAAGAAAATAATTCGGGACAAAATTCAACGAGAAATTTATCGTGGAGACAAGATAGAAAAGATTTAACGATTCAATGAAACGATTTGCAACAGTTTAAAAGGGGAATTTATTCAAAGATAAACACTTCTTTTCAAGACTATTCAAGACTCAGAAGGTTTTACTTTTTTGAACTCTAGTAGTTGTTTTTTCATTCAAGGTAATTTGCATTGTTTATATACACTTTCTTTACATATAATGGACTAACGAGAATTATTATTATTATTCTAGCTATTTTAATTTTTCTTGTAATTCTTATTTTTCTCATTATTACTATTTTTCTTGCTATTCTAATTTTTCTTGCTATTACTATTTTTCTTGTTATTCTAGTTTTTTTTATTGTTTGGGAATTTTGAGAATAGCAGGAATTCTAGGAATTCTGGGAATTTGTGATGTGACGATCTTTACCTTAAACTATCCTAGCTTTCATGTTCTACTTAATAAGGTAAGATAACTAACTAAAAACAAATAATACTAATGCTAAATACAAAATAAATAAAAAAATAATAATATATATAAAAAAAGAAATAGATTAATTAGTGCTCTGGAGCTTTTCAAATAGGCATGCAGATCTCTAATCTTTAATAGGTTTTTTGAGGATAAAGAGTTAAAACTTTTTTATGTAATAAAAGATATAAGAGAGTTTTAGTAGGAAAGGAATTAAGAAGGAAAAAGAAGTATAGGGAATTAGTAGATTTTAATTATTTTATTAAAATATGTTTAAGTATTATAAGTAGAAAAAGTGTTATATAAAACATATTAATATAAGAATAAATCTAATTTGACACCTAGTGTTTGAAACTCAGATTTTAATTTTTTATAAAAAATAAACAATTTTTTATAAAAAAAAATAAATTTAATTAACTTTAGAGTTAGAGTGAAGCCTAGAATTTGGGTTAGAGCAAGGTTTATATATAGAATTAAGCAAGAGATTTTTTTACTTAGAATCTCAAAAGCAGTTTCATAAGTGAAATTTTTAAATATTCACATTTTTTAAAAAATTCTTTATTTTAGTTATACAAAAAATATTTATATATTATACTTAATCTTGAATTTTGATTAGCTTTTCTAATACTTTTGTACTACCTAGTATATTAACACTCTGTGTTCAAATAAAATTGTCTTAATATAAATTATATATAATTAGAGTGTATTCACTCATAATAAAGAATATTTTTTAATAAGCTTTGCTTTATAAAACTTGAGTTCTTTATTAAATAATTATTGATTTTAATACAATAAACTCTGAATACATAATACTTTTACTAAATTAACTTTTATAACTCTAATTTATTATTAAATTAATATATAGCATATTTACTATTATTTTGCTCATATAATATCTACTTAGTAAATTATCTAATTAATTTTGATATACTAAGATTAATTATAGTCATTCTATCTAACTAATCTAATATATTGTAATTAGTTGTAGTTATTTAATTTAATTCTAGTTATCTGATATAATATAGTAACTATAGTTTCAAATATTAGAATACCTAATATATTGTGATATTTATTCTTTAAAGTTAAAATTCCACTAATATTTTCTGTTATAAATTGTTAAGAAAAAATAATTGTGATAATTTTGTAATTAACTAGTTATATTTCTCATATAACAAGTAAATTGTAGTGAAAAAAATAATATATATAACATGTGATGCATGCAGTATATATTGCTACTAAGAAATATAACAAGTTAGTTACTTGACTATCTAAAACCTTATATAATCTACGAATAGTTTAGTTGAAAGAAAGTATTTAGATTTAGATAATAGTTTAGGTTCATAGATAAGTAGGTTTATAATTTCTTTGGTAATTATGCTTTCAAGATTACTAACATTATACTAATCTATTAATTATACCAATGAGCTATATGAAGTCCTTATACTAGGAGGTTTAAACAACTAGAAAATAATAGTACATCATATATCCAAACAATTATTACTACAATTACTACAGTTTATTAGATAATTGGAAAACAATATAACTACAACTAACCACAATTCATCAGGTTAGCTGAACAAGTTACTACAGTTAGTCTTGGTTCAGTAAGACTTAATTAGATAAGTTAGAAAGTAAGTGTCATATAAACAAGATAATAAGGATCTTACTATTAATTACATTAAACAGTAGATTGAAGTTAATATAATTTAATGAAAGTGTAGTTTAGGGTTTAATTATATAATTGGGACTTAATGTATTAGGACTTTAAGTTATATAATAAAAACTTTATTTATTAAAAGCAAAAACTTAGAAGAGTTGTCATTCTCAATAGGCTAACACAACCTTTATTTATAATATAAAATTTTGTATACAAGTTATACTATTTATTAAAAATATATTTTTTATCACAGATATACTATATATCTCATATATAGTATTTAATCTATATATTCCATAAATGAGATATAGGCCTTATATTGCTTAAAAGTAATATATGTAATATAGGACTTATATATCATATATAGCATATATGCGATATATGCAGTTTACTTAATCTGCTCATGTGACTTATGTTTATATTATATCACTAGCTTTGTTTAGGTTCAAAATTTGAGGCTCACAATATAATGAAAGAGTGAGAATATTGTAAATTAGAAAATGTAATTAGGTCAGTATTGAGGGTTGAATAGAAGTCTAAGATCTGAGAGTAGATTAGAACAATAGTCTCACAAAGAAATCTTCTACAATCTACTACTAAACTAACAATAACTCTAATAGTAGAAAGCAGAAAAAGGGCGTAGAGGATTTGGTCTAGGTTTATTAGGTCAAGATCAGTTTGTATATAATTAGGAGGAGGAGGTAATTGTAAATTAATGAATATAATATTGGAGTAACTATAAGAAAGGATTTTATTTTTTAAATCTGAGATTGTTTTATTGAACTCACAGTGAGCTAAATTGAGTTTAAAGAAATGAGGTATTATTTTTATACTTTTTATGATACTAGTAGATACATTTGAAATATATCTAATATGTATCCTATATATCAGATATGATATATGTGCTATATGTACTAGATATGACATATTTGCTATAAATTCTATAAATACCATATATGTTATATCATGAATATCAGCTAATCTTATTAAGGTAGATGATGATTTTTTACAGATTTCAAGATAAGACTATTATATATATCTAAGATATACT